TATTGGATTTGCTCCTAGACATCCCCAAAACAACATGTCTTCTACCCTCAGCCATTAAAATCTCTCTTGCAGCTGGGTGAAGTGACACATGCCTTTAATCCCAGAACTCTAGGGGATTAAGACAAGGGGAGCTCAAGTTTAAACCCAGCCTGCACAATTTAGTGACTTAGTAAGATTCTGCTCAGAAAAAAAATTTAAATTAATTTAAAAGTGCCAGGGACATAGCTTAGTACAAAGGCAAGAGAAAAAAAAGAAGAAGAAAAAAAAAAACCTGTACTCTAACTTACCACTCAGTTTTACCATCAAATTCATTAATTCTTTGGCCTTTTGAGAACATAGGAAACTGCTGATGGTTCTCTCCTTGAAACACCATTCTCCAGCTTCCAGAATACTGCACTCTGTCTACAGGCTTGCCACTCTGACTCCATCTCAGTCTGCTTCTCTTGTTATCCTTCCACTGTTCTAGCTCCTCAGCCTATACTCCCTGGGCAATTGCATCTGCTCCCATGGCTTTAATTATCAGCCACAGGTAACGCCCATCTGATAACTATCTTTGTAACTGTCCGGAGAAATGGTTACTTGGATGTCCCATAAGCTTCTCGATGTGTCCCAAATCTGAATTCCTCCTCCTCTTCCAAAATATGTCTCACTAGGTAGAGCTACTAGGTGGGCCATGATATGGGGTGTCATTCTTGACAACTTCCTCTTTTACTCCCTAAGACACCTAGTCAAACATTAACTTGATGACTCTTTTTCTTAAATACCATGAAATGTGTATTGCCAATTGCCTCCTTTCTTTCTTTCTTTTTTTTTTTTTTTCCTTTTTATCGGTACCGGGAATTGAACTCACAAACGCCTGCTGAGCTAAATCCCCACCCAACCCCCCCCCATTGCCTCCTTTCTACTCCAAATAACTGGCATCTCTCAATCTAGTCCTAATTTCAACTCCTAATTTCAACACACAGCTCACCTTTAGTCTATTTTTCATACTACAGCAAGAATGTTCTTTCTAAAATGTAAAACACAGTTGTGATTGCCATTAACCAACTTCCTGTTGGCTTTAGCAAAAGTTCTTAGTAGATCTTTGGGCGTGGCACTAGTTTTTCTATTTAGCTTCAGTGCACTTACAGCCTCCTAATGCAATATTCAGTCCCTGCTACAAGAGTTTCTCAAGCATCTGATGTGCACGCCTGCTCTGTTCCCACTGTCTGGAGCATTTGTCCAGTCTCTCTTGGCTCAGTTAAGTCTCTTCCTAAGAACCCCACCCCCACCTCCATTCCAAAGTAACCATTAATCTGCTTTCTATCACCACATAGCAGTTAACATTTTCCAGAATTTTATATTAGTGATATTGTAGGCTAGGGATATAACACAGTGGCATAAGTGCCTGCCTGGCAAGCACAAGGTCATGATTTTGATCCCTGGTAACCCCAACCAAAAAAAAATAAATATTGTAAACTTTTCTATTTTTCTTTAGCTTCTGTCACTCAGCATTGTCATTTTGAAGTCTAACCATGTTATTACATGTACCAGTATTCATTACCTTTTATTTCTGAGTAATATTCCAAAGCATGGATGTAAAGTCATGTACCACGTAAAAGTCAAAGACAGACATTTACGACAGTGATCGATAACACCTATTGATGTCATAGCCCTCTTAGTCCACATACACTCCACGATTTTATACAATGACAAATTTCCTAACATGTTTCTCGCAACATATCCCCATTGTTAAGGGAAATCTGAATGTACCACCACTTATTAATTCACCTCTTGTTGGACATTTGGATTGTTTCCAGTATTTAACTAAAACAAAGAAAGCTGCTATGAACATTCATGTGCAAATTTTGTACGGATGCTTAAAATAAAGCAGCTATAAACATTCATGCACACATCTTGTATAGCTGTAGGCTTTTTTTCTGCAGGAAAGGAGGAGTAGCTATATCTTATGGTAGCTGAATTGATCAAATAGTGTTCCCCCAAAAGCATCTCCACTGGGACTTTAGAATGTAACTTTATTGGGAAATAGATTTTGCAGATGTAATTAGCTAGATGAAGTCATAGTGGATTAGTCCCTAAATTCAATGACTAATGCATTATAAAAAAGCCAAATAAAGACAGAGAGTTAAAGAGGTGGGAAAGCAGCCCCTGTGATGAGAGAAGCAGTGATTATAGGGTGCAGTAACAAGCTACATAATGCCAAAGACTGCCAGCAACCGCCGGAAGCTGGTAGAAGCCTGGGTCAGAAACTTCATCAAGAAGGAAACAATTTTAATTTAGAACTGCTGACATACAAAACTGAGAATGAACTCCTGTGGTAAAGCCTCTCTGTTTGTAGCACTTTGTAATCATGATCCTGGAGAATTAACACAGTAGCTGCATGTTTTGGGAAGTTTTAAAATTTATTTTATTGTATTTATTTAATGTGCAGAATACAATGTTGTGACAATATACACTGTGAAGTAATTGTTACAGTCAAACAAACTAATATATCTGTCACCTTCTAACACATGAGCATAGTGAGAGGACCTAATATCTCTTGTTTTCAATATATACAGTATTTTCTGTAGTCATTAAGCTTCACATTAAATCCCTAAGTTAATCTGTTTATCCCAAGTCAGAACTGTACTTTTTGACCTACTTATTCCTATTTCCACCTGCTGATCACCTTTCTACTCTGTTCACTTAATTAAAAAAGTTGCACAAGCGATATCATACAGTATTTTTCTGTGTGTGGCTTACTTCACAAAAAATAATGTCGTATACTTTTATACATGTTATTGCAAATGGAACTATATCTTCTAAGACAGTAGAATCTGTGTGTGTATAAAAAATATTATCCTCTTCATTTTACACAGAAGGAGACAAAGGCTATGGGAGGCTAGGCAATGTGTTGATAAGCAGCAGAGCTGCGGCCTCTTTCAACGATTCTGTTACTACAAGGCCTCATTAAAAAAAAATAGACAAGAATGAGGGTAATGATCATCTTCTCAAAGCCTAAAAGGCTTTCTACCACAGATTTCCACCTCAAAGCTGATATGCTTCAGAAAGACATGAAACACAGTAGCTCTCTCCTGAGCCGTCTAACGTTGAATAGGAAATGTGCGCTGGTAGGCCAGGAAGCTGTCTTCCCCTCTTCATTACACTAATTGCTCTGAAGATGAAATGCGACCTGTTTCACCTCTCCGCATCCTACTCATAGTCAGAGCTGTGCTACTTCAGAATATTACCTGCCATGGCTCCTGGAAACCCTTTTTATTTTTCAAACCCTTCTCATTATAGAAGGGATAAAGCTGAACTCCTTAGCAAGAGCAAGGCTTCACTAGGTCCAGCGGGAGGTAGCCCAATGTCCCACTGACTGGCCTCATCCCCAGAAGGCCCTTTCCATCCAGTCAGTCATTTCACCTCAATCTCTCTCCCATGCAAGCACTTTCCCCTTAACTTTTGTTTTTTCCTCATCATTTCTTCCTACTACAAACAAGCTCTTCACCTCAATATCCACTACTTCACCTGCACACCTTTGGCCCTCCCTGGCCACTGTTGTTTCTTCTGTTATCTCTCTCCTCCATTCTCACAGCCCCCCTCTCAGGGAAGAAGGACACATAGTTTATGATTAACACCTATATGCTCTAGTATGCTAGAAACATCCCTTTTTCACAAGGGATGCTCTGGCAGGGATGCTCATTTCTACAATAACAACATGCTATAGGTTCTGTACACACATTGGAACTTCTCACACACTCTCAACTCACCTCTGCCTCCAGCCTTCAGTGCAGCAGGCTTTTTTCTGTTGTCTCTTCTGTCCCTCAAACACCCCCAAGGCAACCTGACAGAGCCTTACCTTTTGCCAGGCTACACACCTGCTGCCTCCTTTGTCAAGCTCATCGCTGGCACAGAAGTGTGCCAGGAGGTTACAAGCCCAACACCAATAGGGATCAAGAGTCAGGTGGACAAATGCTCTCCCCTTTGTCCTCAGACAGACATGCCTGGGGCCTCTGAGGTTCGTGCAGGGCTGCAGCAAGGAGCCACTTTCCCTGACACGCTACTTCACTCAGGCCCCTTCATTTAGGCCATTCAGGCCCCTTTCCTGCAGGGGATCTCCTCTGAGGCTGGGCTTTCTGGGGCACATTTACTAAGGCTGGCATAGAGCTACTTGAGGCCACTGATTTAGTACTGACAGATTAGTAGCTCCATCACCACCTATCTTTCTCTCATTTTTAAAAAAGTTTCATTTGTTTTTTCCCTGCTCTTATGCTTTAATGGATGATGTCAAGGATTTGTTTAGGAAAGGACTTAAACCTGTTCCCATAAGTATTAAGTACTTCTAGCATTGTCCTGGTTATTTGAAAGGCTGCAATTTGAATTACAGTCTAGTCAGGATTTGCCCGCTTATTAATAGTTTAGGGAGTAACTTTTGCTGGGTTAAGGCATAACCTGGACAAATCACTTCTCATTTCCGAGCAGTTTCTCAGCTAGAAGGTGAGGGGAGATTTCCCATTTTGCTGGGAAAGGAAAATCAAAGGAGACAGGAGCACGAGGCTATCTTAAAACGGAAAGGAGTTCAACTTGGAAAGACTTTTGGGTTACTCTGGTGCAGGAGGATTGGAGGCCAGGGCAGGCCCCCAGAGGTCTCTCATGATCCCTTATTCCAGAGTTCAGAGCCTCCCAAAGCATTTGGGTTCATGGAACAGCTTCTTTCACTCTCAACTGTCTGCCGCCGAACCAAATGTTTACCAGAACCAGATTTGCAAACCCAGATGTCAGACTTCCTGTCCCAGAGGCTCTCAGTTCACCCCCTGGTCCGTCGTTGGCCTCCCCGCAAAGGAAGTGCGCAGGAAAGAGCAAGAAGTGTGCACAGAAGCATGCACCCGCTCCCTCACCCCTCCCCTCTCCCCACCCCAAAGGCAGGAATTTCTGGGAAGTGTAGATGGTCCACTCCCTTTTCCTTCTCCTTACCCAAAGCTGGGTGGGTAGGGCGGGGAAAACACTGCGATTTTCCCTTCTCCCAGCCCAGATTCCCAGGAGTGCGCGCTGTGGTGACTAAGGGAGGCGGAGAGGGTCCCGGGACGGACGCGCGGGTTGAGCGCGGCGAGGGAGGCGGTTCCGCCTCCCCTGGAGCGGCTCCTGGCGCTTCCGGGGTGGTTCTGGTCCAGAGGGCGCCGCACACCGCGCGGGTGAGTCTAGTGGTTAGCGATGCTCCCGCTGCTACCTTCGCTGCCGCTGCTGTTGCTACTGGGGGCGCCGCGAGGCTGCGCAAACCTCGTGGAGACGACGCTCACCCCCGAGAGGGTCCTCGAATGGCAGGGTGAGTGTCCCCAGGGCCAGGGAACCGAGTGGCACTCTGGAGCCAGGAGGTGGTCCACGGAGGGGAGAACGGGTCAGGCTGGGGGTAGCGAGGGGAGCCCCGGTGCCTGAGCGCCGCGGGCCGCATCCACATCGCGGTCCTCCTTCTCCGGGTGGTCCAGCCAGCTCCCAGGGCTGCGCATCCCACCTCCGCCTGGGGGCGCGGCGAGGGGCGGGACCTGGATCCCGGTTCCAGGCTCTGGCAGCGCCCCCGGCCCCTGGGACCACCTGGGACAGGAGGAGTTTCAAAGTGCAAACTTTCTGAGTTGTTGGGAGGACCACCTCTGGGATGAACCACTGAAAGCTTTCGAAATCGAGGCGTGGGCACCGCCCCTACGGAGCAGCCCCTCTCTGGACCAGGCTTCCCCACTGTGCCTCTTCCAGAAAGAAAATTTTTATTAATATCTCCAAAACGAGGTGAAAGGCGAGTTGCCCTTGGAGTTGTGTGAACTGACACAGGTTACTCACTACGCTTCACAATTGCTCTCAGCAGAAAAGTGGGACAACTAAAGACTGTTCCCCGCCCTGCCCCCCCCCCCCCCAGAAGACCCGAGGAGAGGGTTTTATTCTGCAGGGCGCACTTCAGGGTCGGGCCACCTCTTTGCTTCAGAGCCCAAGGGTGTGTGTGAAGGGAAAGGGGGTTGTGGAAAGTTTAACGAGGAAGAGTCTCCTGAAAACCACTATCCTCTCTATCTTTGGGGATGAGTTTGGACAGAAGGGGTAAAACAAGGTCAATATCTGCACTCTTTTTACCTTCTCAGCATGCTGTGTGCATGCCTCCGAGATAACCTGTTGTGGACTGTACTGCCTAGCTCTCCTCAGAGGTTTTTTCAGGGGCAGATTCAGCCCTACTCTTTTTCCAGGGTCCAAAGGCTAGAAATGGTCTTACCTCTGTCAGTTTGGTAGAACTTGCTTCTGAGCGTGCATTCACCACAGGGATGGGGGCCATTAAGACTTTACCCTGCAGTGGTCATTCCTCTGCTTTGTAACTGTGGGGTTTCCCTGGGTGCTAGCTGGCAGGACAGGGCAGCAGCTCATGTGACAGAAGCTGGAGCCGAGCCATGCAGCGTCTGTGCCAGTGATCCTCTGAGCACGGATGGGCTAATCCTTTCTATATGTAGCAGTCCCAAATCCCGTCCTGACAGAGTTACTAATGACTGTCTTCTTTTTAGTAGTCAAGGGCATTCTGAAATTAGAACCTGCTGCTGCTTCCTACACTCTCTACATAAAGTTTGCCGATCTGAAGGAGTTCAAACAGTTGTCATAGAGATTCAACATCTATGAAAATGCTGCCACTGATGTTCTAAAGAGCACAGAGTGTGCACTGCTTCTCACAAAGGCTGCACTCTAGTCACCCACATCCTTGGAGTTTTGAGTATAATCTAGACATGTTTGAAATCGAGTTTTTCTTATTTATACAAAGATAGAGAAAGCACCAGAAAGGATTTGAGACACTGTCTCTTCCCTCCGCACATTCTTTAGACGCAGAAGCCGAGAGTATGGCTGTCATGGGATTAGCCATGTTTTGGAGTGCAGTGGCTTACCATGTGTTGCCTGCACTGCATTGATTCATCTTCAGCCCTGATTGGCACTTACAGAGCCACTGTGAAAAAAACATACACTCTCACTTAGTTTCATATCCACTAAAAGAACAGTTCTGAATTATTTGAAAAGTATTAGTGATAGTGATTGATTTGCCATTCATTATAAACATACTAGCCATGGGAGGCAAATGATAGGTTATACTGTGCTGACTTTTCAATCATTTATCAATAAATTTGTGTTCAAACATCAGAAGATTCAGCGACATATAGTAGTAGTTAAGCTCATGAACTTTGAAGCCGTATTGTCTGAGTTCAAGCCTCTGTGATGCCATTTCCCTTGGGCAAATTACTTAGCCTCTCTGGACCTCAGTTTCCTCATTTCTAAAGATAAAGTTAGTAGTAGAATTTACCTAAGTGCGGTCCTTCTGTTGCAGCATCACCATGGTGCCTTCTTCCTCTGGCCAGTCCAGAGCATTTTGACAGATCAGCAGCCATGTCCCAACTGTTTACTTCCCTGAGCACTGTACTTGTAGTTCTGGAGTCTATCTCCTGCCTCTAATTGGCTGTACCAAGCGGCTTTTGTGGGCTTGTTTTTCTGCACCCAGAATCTCAGCTATCCTTCTATCAAGTGTTCAGATTTGTTAACAGCCCTTGCTTATGTAATGCCAGATACTGAGAGGCAATAGGGAAGAAGGAATAAGGGCAGAGAGCGTCCTGGCAAAAGTGGCAGAGTCACTGCAGAAGGAAATGAATGGGGAGCAAGGGAAAACATTTTGAAGCCACGTTGAGGGCTGAAATCGTACACATAAAGTGGCCCCAGTCAGCATGGGAGGAGAGTTTCCTCCAAACTCTCTCAACAACCAGTGGCCAAGGAAGGTGAGAGCGCAGATGTGCTTGCTTACAGTCTCTAGGTTCTTCTCTACGAGGAAGAAAGTAACAGGTTAGAATCTTCACATCCTACCCCAGTGAGAAGAAGCATGAAGGACGGATGGCTTCAGCTGCTCACTCACTCTCTATCCAGCAGTGAGTGCTTTATTTCATGGTCTTCGTTTGGGCTCATCCAAAAGCAACCCCAGAGATACGTATGTATTGTGGGTACAAGGAGTTTATTTAGGAGGTGATCCTAGAAATCATGGTCAGGGAGTCCAGAAATGAAGCAGGGAAGGGAAGAAAACATTATAGTACTGGCAGTGTGGCTCAGATTCACAGAGGACCTGTGTAGATTTCAGTGGACCCTGTGGCAGTCAAGAGGCTGAGTCTCTACCAGTGGACCTCTCCAACTGGTGGAGGGTCACTCCTAGAACGTTAATCCCCCGGTGCTTCTAGCCTGCCCAGAACACCCTCAGGCAAACACGCAAAAGGGAGTCAGAGAGCAAGTACAGGGGGATGAGTAAGCTCTAGGCCAGCTGTGAGTACAAAACAACAGGATCTGTCCCACACCCCTGTACTGTGGAGACAGGGACATAAATAAGCTGTGGCACTGTCCCCAAGACAACTGAAAGCCAGGCAAAAAATACAGAAACATGAACAAATTGCAAAACAGAATGGTAGATGTTACATTAACAACAACCAAGCAAAGAGCTGAAGCAAAGGAGGTACTTGGCCTGGCGAGCTGGAACTTACTTATTTTTCTAAAGGATAAGAAGATAGCTGAGATAAAGGGTAAGTAGATAAGAGAGAGAGAGAGAGAGAGAGAGAGAGAGAGAGAGAGAGAACATTCCTGGCAACAAATTTTTTATGCGAAAAGCACAAAACTCTCCTCCCATGCTGACTGGGGCCACTTTATGTGTACGATTTCAGCCCTCAACGTGGCTTCAAAAATTCAGTAAAATTTCAGTGAACTGGAAGTTTCTATCTTTGTTCTTTCAGGTTCAAGGAAAGAGGCCATTAAGAGTCCTTAGGAAAATGTGAGGCTGGTTGTATCCATTCCAGGATCTCCAAGGGGACCCACCTGTGTACTCAGACACAAGTGCCTAGGAACGGGAAAGTGGTCACTGCACTGAAACAGCTACCTCTGTTACTCTCAGGGGTGTCCACATGGGGGTCCCTGCTGAGTTCTCCTTTCTGTTCTCTGGTTTCTTCGCTTCTAATTTGAGAACCTTTCATAGGTACCTCCCATAACTTCCTACGAAAAGCCCTTCAGTTTTCTAGGAAGAAGACTGGTCAGCCTGTTCAGAGAGCTGCAGGCCAGTGCCTGTGCTCTGGCCCTTGGATCAGAGTGCTTCCATGACTAACTGCGCTGAGAAGGGTGTGAAGTGCTTGCAGGGATGCTGCTTCATCAAGGAGAGTGGATGCGGTAGATCGGCAGGATAGGTCACAATCAGGACAAAATTGCCTGTCTATATTTGGAAGCACAGGAGAGATAAGGAAATGACAAATTCAGCTGAAGGCACAGAGGCCTCATGGGTTTAGGCAAAGGGGAACCTGATCACACTTTTAAGTTTAAGCCTGCCTCGGGTAGTTTGGGACTTGAGAGTAATTCTGAAGGGCAGCAAAGAGGGAACTATCTGGGAACTTAAAATTGAGCTCAGTTAGTCCTCACAGGAATATGGAAGAGAAGAAAGGTTGTATTCAATAAATAGCATTTTAAAAAATAATCAATAGTAGGAGATTGGTACAATTGCAGACTAGCAAATATATGGTTAGACAATGCAAATTCCAAGTTTTAAAGATGGATCTATTCTGCATGGTGACCAGATTTAAGAAATGGATGAAGAATTGGTCACTGAAGTTGACAGCAAGTGAAAAATACCCTTATAGCAGAGGACATTAGGGAAACAGGCTCCCAAAGCAGAACTAGAGCTGGAGGTAAGAATTTAGGACTCTCCTATCAGTGAGCCATTGTAAGAAATATACTTTATGATATTACCTATAGAAATATGCTTTATAATGCAACCTGTAATACAACACATATATGTGTCTCAAAAGTTTATTTTGAAAAAATACTCTTCCATAATGTATTATGCTACATATTTCTTTTCTACTCTATTTCATTCTGCTTTTGTCTTGTCATGTGTGTCATGACACACTCAATTCATTTCATGACCCAATTATTGTGCCACAACCTACAGTGAACCAAGTACTGGGCCAGCATGCTGGGCCATCTGTGTAGAAGTTAAACACTTTGGCATGGGGAAGGCAATAGGGAGCCTGCTGTTAACAGAGTCATAATAAATGTGGGAAGAGTTGTTCAAAGCATTGAAACAGGGATGAGAAAGGGAAAAGATACTGCCTCCTGGGAAAGCTTCTGGAAGGAGAAAACGAGAGCCAGCTCCTGGAGGCAGCCGCAGGGAGGTCTCTTGGCCCTGAGATTCCCACCGTCCATCTCTCCATCCCATTTCCATTTCTAAAACAAGGTAAAAATGACCTTTTCATTGCTCCTAATATTTCTTAACATTTGAGGAAAGGTACTCTGTGC